AAAAAACGATTGTAAAAGTGCAATGTAAACGTACTACTAAGTTCATCTGGAACTGGAGGTGTTTCTATTGTGTCGTATAATTGTGTCATGTTTCTTTCTAAAATCCGCAAGGATGGGTATGTAGGGTGAGTAGGAAGTTGTACGAAGACTCGATTTGGTTTTACTACATGACATACAACAACATCATTGTTTACTCCCTCCACTAACGACAATTGCATTAACTCAGTAATCCATTGGTTCTCTTCTGATGTTTTTGATGACAAAATTTGTTCTAGGGTCACGTTAGGATATTTCTCCTCTGGAAACTTTTGCCGTATCATGTCGAGAGCGATGTTAACTCCTTCTGAGGAACCCTCTATGGCACAAATTTTCTGATCTTTCATTATAGGATAATTTTTAACGACTATGTGTACTTCAGCTTTCAATCGAATACTATGCAAGAAATTTCCATGACGGCCGATTAATCTTCCAACTAAATGTTGTGGTATGCAAAATTCATAAAGCACTGGACCTGCACTGTCTTTTGTGTGACCCTTGATACTTCCTCCTGAAATAAATATAGGATTAAATCAATGGTCAATTTGAATCATTTTGCATTTAACTTTACCTTTTCCACTGTCTGTGCTTCCTTCACTTCTAGCTTCATCTGTAACACTGCCCTCCAAAACACCAGAAACTGGACTATGATTGGCAGAATCCCTTTCAGATAATACTAGTACTGGAGTTTTAACACCATCTTTTGGTGGAGTAGCAGCAGGTGGTTCTTTGCTTAGAAGATAATCACACTCATTATTTATGTCATTTTCTTCATGTGTATTGATAAGTTCTTCAGAATTATCTTCACAAGATAACTTCTGCTCTTCTTCCTCAACAACATTCTCAAATATCTTCAACACTTTATTACTGGAGTCAGTAGCATTCTCTAAAGAAGATGCACTTCTACTTCTGGCAATCATGTCAAAATTGTTTATTTTAGGATTACTGCCTAGTTGTATATCCATCTTGTTTGACGAAGTGTCCATATAACTGTACCATACTTGACTGTCTTTAGGTGGAGTTGTAGAATGCGCTGATGTACACTGTGAACTACCCTTTCTTTGTGGAATATCTAAACTTTCACTATGTTTCCTAGGACTGCAAATAATTTCTTCTATTGGTTGATTGGAAGAATTCAGTGAAAATGACTCATCAATGTGTATACCAGAATCATAAAAGTTTAAATCAGACTTTGATGAAGTGACTTCTTTCTTACGATTGGCTAAACTTTTATCACTATGATCTGATTTATCAATTCCACCTGGATCAGCTCTGTCTACTTTGCGACGTTTGTACCACAATAGACCAATTAATAGTGCAAAAGCAGGAAAACTCCACTTCACCACTTGGACATGAGTAGCAGACATGTTTCCACTCCACTGTAGCTGTTGATATTAAGGAACTTTTTATTCTGAAATGAAAAAAATTATTTTGTATTCTATAAGAAAATAAAACAATAACTAATAACTACTGTAATTAGTGGAAACAATACTCTTACACTTCAATAAATTTTACAATATAAATTTAGCAATATGTGTTACGTTATTACTAGCATTGTATCGTCTTGTTATTTAAAATAACAATACAACCACCACCTTCCAGCGAGCGCGCAAAGTCGATGAAATTTAATTCTTATTCAGCCTCTCGTCTTACTCGGTTTCCTTTGTTAATTACCGTTTCACAAGCGTAACTTCCGGCCACAAATATATTCGCTAGAATAGCTTAATTAGGAGTGGAGACAATGTATACAAACAAATGCTTCGTTTCTTCAATGTACAGGCTCAAATTTGAAAAACAGCTAAACTATTTGCCAACATTCGCGGATAAAAGCAAAAATTGAAAGGATTAAATTTCTTCGAAATTTACACTTTTAATATCAACTTTGGACAAAACTTTGAAAATTAAATTAACATTTCATCGGTTCAATTAAAATGTATGTATACATAACCATTGAATACGCGACCATATAGGAATCATAATTACAGCAATAATTAAAGTGTTTATTGATTTACTAGCACTTTTTCGAAAATGAAAATGAACACAATGTAAGTAATATCAATATAAAATATAATTTCTTTAATTGAAATGGTCGTTACAATGAAACAAGTAAAATACATATCTATAAGTCACACATTAACGTTCATGTTAAATTTCTTTGAATTCGAAGCTTTAAATATAAATTACATTCGATGTGGATACGAATCCATAAATTCATATCAACGCGCGTCCCTTAACAAACAAGAAGAAAATAGTAATATACGGACGATTTACACGTTCAGTATTTATCGATCAGGATTTTTGCTGCACCCTCATGGAATTTTCACTTGATTAGTGAAATTGTATCAAACTATACGAATCAAATTCGAAAATAATATAAAGTATATAAATTTTATTGTAGTAATTCGTAATACACAATGCGTTTGGTAATATGCGATATGAACACAAACTATAAGAGTGATTCAAAATGCACGGTATAAATATAAAATATACGATTTAATTTAAATTCGATAAAAACAATCTAAGAAGACTTTTTAATCATAGATTTTGATTTTTTTTTTATCAAGATGAATCTTTCCCGTTTGAAATGTATCGCATATTGTGAAACGCCCTGTATAGTGCATTCGCCCCCGCTTGATGCACGCTTGCTGTTTCCATCTGTGGCACCTTAAGTTCGGAGAAAGTACCGCAACCTTCTCCTATAATTGAAAAAAATGACATCGTGTCGAGGCAAGAAAACATTTTCACTGCAGAACGACAGTCAAACTCTCGAAAGTAGCAGATTTCACAAAACAATTGAAAAATTAAATTATCATAGTGCCTTTCTGTTTACTACAAAAAAAAGAAAAGAAAAAAAAAAAGAAAAATTGCAAACGTAACTGCAACATGATGAAACAAATTGCAAACGCAACTGCAATATGACGAAATAAAATTTCATCGTGAACACGATCGATGGAAGAATTTCTCGTATTTTCGAAAATGGTTGCGACACATCAATTTAGCGTATTTCCATGGGATACCCAGGGTACACACAACGCAAACAGACCTCCAGCAACGAAGGTCGAACATTATACGTTAGAATTACGATCGTACGGGGACTCACCGACGTAAAGTCCATGCTTACTTCCATCTGTGATCGTATGACGGGTCGTTTAATCGTTCGAATAATGCATAGACCAGAGGAAGTAATTGAGGAACCGGTGAAAATTGAGAATTCAAAAAGGCGGTCTCGAAATAATTAACAGGCAAACCCAAAGGCACTCTCGTTAACACGACTAACGCGGTACTGCGGTTTGCGGAACGATCGCGGCTTTCAGCACGTGGTAACTCTGGAGAGACCAGTTCGACTGGAACCGCTTGCGATTGCGCAGGCGCGATTACGTTAAGCAGCGTTCACACGATAATACAGATAATCTTGGAATTCTCTCTTTTCCTTCGTTTCTGTTTTCGAGAGCGTTACATTCGGTAAAATAGTTATCGACAGTAGTGAATCAGCAGTTTCAGTATTTAGGTAGAGTAGACGTTGTACCGACGGTGTGTATAGAATACAGAGGAGCTGAATTTAATTTTATAAAACCGTTTGTCCACGAGCAAGTAGTCGCGGAAGCGGTTTGAATTACCAAGGTAACTTACCTCGTCGAACAACACAGGTAATTTACGCCGGTTATTTGTGGATTGAAATGTTACTCACCGTTAATTTGTTTACCGAATGGTTTACTAAAGTTTCTCAGGTATTTGATAATTCACTGAATGATACAGTTATCTAACTAAATAGTTATTAGCGCCAACAGTGTATCATTTCCGTGATAAGCGTTCACAAAGTAATCTGCAGCGATAATAAATCGCGATTTCTCGAATCTGATTCATTGGACAAACGCAGCGTGCACGGATTTTCATTTTAGAACGGCACACGTCCACCCGTTCGAATAATGCGAATCAGAAAGTTAGTCTATGCTATTTATCACGAAATCTGCGTTGAAAGTAAAAGGATTAAAATTCGCCATCAAAGGAATGGATTACACAACGTCGTATAAAATCATAGGTTTCCATTAAACGGGTGTATTTAAGCATAGTGTGCAATTTCGAGCGAACAGTTGGTCACACACGCCTGTATTAGTAGAATTCGCGTTGTCTGCGTTCCGTCGTCAAATAAAATCTCTATTTCCTAATCGCGAAAAAGTTTCACGATTTAGCAAACAAGTATTACACGTTAGATTTGTTTATGTATGTACAATAAATACGCCGACGGATTTTCTCTTTTTCGCCAGCGAGGAATATGAATTAAAAGGTATCGTTTATGCGTTTCATATGCGAGGCAGCAAATCTGTTACGTCATCCCTCGGGCGTTCCGTCAGCATCGATTCGTATAACGATCAAATGTAAATGCATAGTAGCGAACGAATACGATCTACATTCATTCATGCGTACAGATAATAAAAAATTCAACGTACATTTACGAGCGTTCCTTATCAGGTGAAGCATAGAGAAGCTTAAAATGAATTTGTGATATCATTGAGTGAATGCATTGACAACAATCAACTATGTTAATGAAAATATAACAGAGTCGCAACTACAATTAATGATGCAACAACAACGACGTTTGTATATAATAGTACGACAGTGAAGTTATAATATTAACATTGTGCTACAATGATTCATCTGCAACAGCAACACGTATATTAGTGCACGCAAGATATAGTAGCACAGCGAGACTATAGCAACGGTATAGTTACATTATTGCCGCGTAACGACGCCACAGCAGAAATGAAATAATAGCACCCTGTTGCAGCGCTACTATATCGCTACTACAGTTATAGTTCTACAATAATTCTGTAGTTGAAGAATAGTTGTAGTAACGTCATAGTAACAACAACATAGTGTCAATTGTACTTTCTATATCGAATACAGTAATCTGTCAAATTGTGTTATAATTTTTATTCGCACACCCACTTTACTCTTTCCTTGGCACAATTTTTTTTATGTTAAGTGTTCGATACCATCTAAATAGGCCGGTTGCTATCTAGAGTTTTTTTTTTTTAAATAATAAATTTTCGTTTTTAAGTTGAAACTTATTTTGCGAGAATATAATCGATAATAACCTTTCCAATATTATATAAGTATAATAAAATCGAACGTATCGTTAATTGTTATACAGCTCAGATATCTTGACAATGTTTCACTGACGTTTCGCTAAAAATATAAAATCACCAGATGAATCTAAGAGTCTCTTTCTTGGTTGGTTTTTAATTTATTACAGTCTAGAGAATTTAGTAGATCGCTTCAAAACTTCTGACATCTCACCAATACATCGCTAGGAATTATCACTATTGTAAGAAATTCGAAATTTTCTTCGATCTATTTTCCACGAGCACAAGAACCCCATTATTATTTAACGTTAACGAGCGTCAAATAACGGGTGAACGAACGAAAGAAACGGTCCACCAATTATCATCGAGCATTTCCATCGGAAGGGCAACTTCAATGGCCGCTTAATCTGTTGCGACACAACGCTCAGAAGTAAGAAAGGAGATCGGCCAAGGTGAGACAAGAACACGATTTGAGCTCTTTCCTGCTGCCCGAAAGGGAGAAGGGATACATGTCGGACGACGAAAAAAAAAACAAGTTAAATTAAAATGAAACCGGTAACCGTTGTCCGCCGGAGATCGGACCGGCGAGCAGTCGCTCGAGGAACTGGGTTACGCGTGGATTTAACTTCACATGGAATAAAAATTTTCAAAGAAAGAGTCCACACGACAAGACGAGCACCGTTTATTTCGGTATAAATTCACTATACATATGGCTGCTGAACAAACTCAACTGCATAGGCTGACGTTTTTTTATTTTTCACTTTTTCACAGAGACTCCTTTTGCATCATTAAATACGATATCTATGATACGCTAGACAGTAACGAGTCTATTAACACGGTTGTTTAAGCTTTTAGGCGTCTCCGGGCGATTCGAGACCCAGTTATTAATTTCAAAGACAGATATTATCTCGAATACCCGGATACGTGAATATTTGGATCACGGAAGCTGTATCTAGGTCTCCTTACCATTTCTCCATGATACAAGCAAGCCGTGATCCAATCACGTTTGCAACGTACTTTCATCGCGTCCCGAAAATAAGGCATACATACAGAGGTTAACGCATCGATGACTATAGACGCGGATACATACTGTCACACGGAACTGTGGTTTGTAAACGCCACTTAAATCTGTCTCGTGTGTTAGTTTATGAGTGGACAGAGGGAGACACCCGTCTTTCAAGCGGCAGGTTTACCCGGCAGGATCGTTATACACGACGACAGCATAGATATGTAAGAAACGAAGGTGACCGCGACGGTTCAACGTGCTCTTGGAATGTCCAACC